TCAAATTTTGATCCTTTGAAGCATTTTTTTTCCTTTGAAGCATACATATCTATGGAAATGTCACAGTTTTACTTTTAAAAACTTGGCGGCCTGCTACTATTCAGGAAACAGAGTTTCTGTTTGAAATTGTCAAACAATACAAGCTTACATAAAATAAATGCATGAAAGGAAACACTAAGTAGATGTTTATTTAAGTGGAGAACTAATACACACCGTGACATGGAGAGACAGTTTCTCCATTTGTTCATTGTATTGAGGCAATGCTTGAACCATTTTCTGTATATCCCGAGTCGATAGTTCACTACCATCTCTACATGAAAAGGAACTTTAAATTGAGAACTGTCTATAAAAAAGAAGGTACAAAAGTGCATCGTACTCATAAATATTCTACTATTCTAGTTATCTGACTGAAATCTGAACCATGATAAAGTGGTTATTATGTTAAAAGTAATAATCTTTATTAAAGAGACGAAATATCTAATAAATAATTAAATACAATGAACTAAACTAGTTGAAATTTCTTGATCTGAGTATAGTATACATAGTTTACAATAAGGCACATGTACTGAGCTACATCACAGTCTGCAAGCTTGTTCCCATTTCCAGTCCTTGCAATTTTGCATAAAGAACTAATCTCTCGTCCCAATAAAAAGTCATGTTAGGTCAAGGTACAACTTTTAAATTTTTCAAGGTACAACACTAGTCACAGAATAATACTTGAATTTTTTTTAGTTCGACTAAATTTATCATACTGAACATGTTTGTACTTCCTCTTTTGTTTATTTATTTATGAAACTGGAGATTTTTTTGATCAATAATAACTTTTGAAACATGATTCTTTTTCTTTTGAGACAGGGAGTATATCTTTTGAAACCAATCCAATCATATATTCATATACCACAATGGTTTGATGTGGTTATTGGTAATATATAATGAAACGAATCCTCGGCATTACTACAAGCAAAAAAAATAACATCTGAGTTTGAGGCTTTGAGCTATAATCTTATTAAGTTTGCATATACTACGTATCATTTACAAGGATTAGATCCACTTATTACACATTATTAAGAACCAACCTTTGTTGTAGTTGTGCTGCTTTGTTCTTTGACACAAAGTTCGTCATCTTATCGTGTAACTTTTCACTAGCCTAATAACAAATTCATTAAGTTAGAAGATGTCACAGAACACGACGGGCACCCAGCAAGCAAAACAACATTAAGTGTAAAGTTGTACTCACTTCTGCTATATGCGCATGCCGAAGTTCAAGCCAGACAGGATCATGATCTTCCAAAAGAACTTCTTTTGTTTCAGGCTCACCACCCGACTTGCTAGGGATCTACCATACTTCATGTTACTAATTTCCAAAACTTAAACAGCAAGAACCATAATATAATGCTCAGGAAAGTAAATGTGTACCTCATGTACATATTTGTTACCATTCATTTCAAGAAGGTCATGGCACATTGCATCGTAGGTCCACTCATGGATGACAGGAGCAATCTGAATAAACAGATTTTGGTCAAATTAATAAAAAATAAAGTCAACTGATGTACAAAAATTATGACAGGAACTGAATGCCACCTGATCAATTGATCTGTCTACAATCAGTAAATCACATGTCTCTTTTTGGGGATAATTAGGGATAGTGGTTTTGTATGTAGAAATGCAGTCCCAAATAGCAGCAGCAAGCTTTGTGGGAATTAATTCGTGGTTTCTCCTTGTAGACGCATCTCCCTTGGGAGCTCGGTAGTGCACAACAGGAAATTCCTGAGTGTCAAGTAAATAATTAGATTAATATAACAGTGATCAGTTCTGAAAATAAGCCCTTTTCTATTTTCTTCTTCGTTCCACAGGCGGAAGTCATCATCATCATTATCATTACCCCAGTGCCGCAAAGGCTCCCACCAACGGTGGGGTAAGGAGGGGTCGGATGTACGCAGTCTTACCCCTGTACTAAAGCACAGAGAGACTGTTTCCGAATGACCCATAGTGAAATTGGCGTCGAAAATTACAAGACTGACTACTACTTCATAACAAAGAAGCGCAGAAAGTTTAGTGAGTCAATTTGCTTTATTCCATCATATTCCCAAGCCAAAAAATAGTAAGTCTTTGGTTCCATTGCAAATAAGAGTTAAACACGAAATTTGGAGTAATAGATATTTAAAGTCACCTTTAAAGAAGCAAAAACAGTGGCAATTCTGGAGGCCATTGTGCTCAAGCATGTATTAAAGCTATGGGAATTTTCAGCATTTTCACCAAAGAGTTCCTCTAATGCTCTATCCTGGTCAGTGAGAAAACCCTAAGAGGAGCAAATACAAAATAATTAATGTACATACTAAGATTCTTTAAAATGCCAATTACCAAATGATTCTAAGGAAACTTGAACATGACACATTTCATGCATTGAATTGGAATAAAGAATACTTCGTATAAAATTGTCTGATCCACAATCAAACAGAATTAGTCAAATCAAATGACAAACACCTGACTGTCCATTGGGAAGTACTCCAAATTCATCTGCAGTGCAAATAGAGAAAAGACTTAGTACTGAAAAGTGAAAACCAATATTTTTTTTGTATTATCCACAGGGAAGAACAGATAGATCTTGACCTCTCTTAGTGCGCCTATACGTGGTAATACACTTGTATCATTCTTGATACGAGAAATCAGTTCCTTTGGTATGGGCGAACTGAAGTATACGTAAGCTCTGCGCAAAGAGAAAAATATAGCCCGGATAAGAGGGATATAGTAATGACAAGACTGACATCTTATTGGACGGAGTTGTTAAGATATATTCTATCACATACTTTCTGTATAAAGGTTCTCTTCCAGACATATCAGATAGGAACATTATCACACTGAAAAAAAATACTAAAAGTGTTAGTCTTTGCTTATATGTCATATATTCAGACAAAACTACTTAGTGTGCCTATTTACAGTTTTTGTAAGAGATATCCCAAATACATAAAAGTAAAGAGATAGTACGGAGTATAATATTTTATTTTCATATAATGAAAGATTGCAGATCATTAAAGTGGTTTCTCTACAGTACTCCTCTCAATTAACATATCCAATTGGGCAGTACTTTTCTTCTTTTAGCCTTTATTTCCTTCCATTCTCGCTCTTTTTTCCTCCTTTGATACTGAAAGTTATTTTGGGGCATGAACACTTACAGCATTGTAAGCACAGTGTTTGCCTAGTCAATGTGATTTAAGTATTTACAGCATAGTGAGCAAAGTGAACGATAATAAACAGGGAGCTATAAACACACTTCTCCTTAGTTGGTTGAATGAAATAAATGACATCCATACTGGGTAAAGGTTCTCTTCTTCTGAAAAGATCTTCCACCACTGCATTAAAGAGAAACCAGTTATCTGCTTGAAATCTGACTAAAACTCATCTTGTAAGAGTAAACACTCAAGACATATAGGTGATTGATAAGGTGAGTGATTGAAAACCAAAATATCTAGATGCTTATCAGATATACTTGAACATTTCCTGTTAGTAATCGTAATGTCAATCCAGAAAACAATAGCCAAAGGATATAATAATTAATATCTCAAGTCTCAACCACAATGTTTATGAAAATAAAGGAAAGAGATAATGGTTTATAGTGTCGTTTAATTGCAAGAGTACAATTAAATTGAGAACAAATAAAAATATACTAGTACTCACAGGAAATTCCTTCGTCTGTGATATCTGCCATTTTACATGAGCAAGACATCACTTTCAATGTGACTTTGTCCATGATGAGTACCTGCACGCAAGGGGCAAACCTCAAGATGAACACAACAAATTTCACTTTTCTGACTTGAGAAACTACAATTCCAAATGAAAATTAGCATTAACAATGTTTTTTAACAAAAAGATTGGTGTAAGTTAATTCAACACTAATAGGTAGAAGAAGAAGAAACAAAAGAAGCTCATTCCTCAAAAAACAGTGTCCGAAAAAACATACCCTCCACGCGGATCTGGGATCATCCGTTTTGGAGGAGCGGAGCATTTCATACAACAGCCCTACATTTAAGAAGATAGAATTTCAGATGCATTATTGTTTTGGACAACATTAATGGTTAAGACTTGAGAAAAACATCTTTTGGTGAAAATTGTGAAATGAACAAAATGAGAGGAGAGCTAGAGAGAGATTACTTTCACGGGTGACCTGCCGGAAGTTCTTGTACTCGGCGCAGCTGTGAGAAGATGTCTCTGAATCGGAGAACGACATCTTTGATGAGAAGTACGAATGTAGAACGGAATTTCTGAACCTTTTTTCTCAGAGAGTTCTATACAGAGATGAACGAGAGGCGGTTTTCGCGGTGAATGAGGAGAACCACAGTCCAGAGTGTTCGAATATTGGTCGTTATACGCTTGGTGTGTTGAGGCGCGCGCAACATTTTAACGACCATCAATTCCCATTCATCTATTTTGTCTCTTTCATTTTCCTAAAAAGTAAAAATCATTTTATAAGAAACAATTACTACCATGTAATAGCTAAGTTTAGCATAATAAATGTTATACGTAGTATGATCTATTATATGGCGTACAAATCAACCCTTTCCACTTTCCCAACTTTTGTTTATTTCAAATATTTTATTCAATACGGAGATATGCTAAGTTTAATCTTTTATATTATTGCACTCCAATTTAAAGCACACGATCGATTTGGGCGAATTAAACCAACGAATGAGATGAAAAGTAATGATAAGAATAAGATATAAGGAAATTTATGAAAGATAAATCAACACACATTAAAAATTGGTAACAGATGACAACAATAATAATATTCTACCTGCAACTAAAATGATAGAGGTTTCTTAAAATCAAATATCGGCATTCTAATGTAATAGAGAGACTTCGAAAAACATGTAAAATCATACCATTGAAAATTAAACGGAAAACATCTAGCATCTGTAGGTGTTTCATCATGCATGGATGATTGAAACAAGAGTAGCTAGTTGGATGAATTTGAGGCCAGAGTAGAAAATGCAATACCTGGATGGGATGGGAAAGATTTGAATATGATGGTGAAATGAATGGCCAAATAGAAGTGTAGAGCAAAGGGGAAGCTTTATATATGCTTATAATATGCTTAATAAGTCAGACATGCATGAGGAATGGTAGAGGATTAGCTAGGTGGATGTGTTATAAATCAAGTTACTCTCCTTGTTTTTCTCTATTATTATAATTATGTGATCTGTATGTATATGCATTCCAGTACATGCCTATTTCTTAGGATGCTACTATATTATTAAATCTAATATTTGGGGTATATCTGTATCACAAAAATGCTCTCTTGACATATCTCCAAACACAGCTTGCTAAATTCATGCGCCAGTTGCGTTCCAATATATATAAACTATTATGTGCATGGAGTACTCGATGTAAAACAATTGGTTCATTTTTACATAGAAGAGATAGGAATAATAAAACTTACGTATTGATTTTGTTAGAATCAAATGATCAAGAACTTTGCAAAGAACGAAAAATGTATGTGCTATACACCTATATGTATTTTTACAATTTACAATGTTGATGTTTGATACTTGATTAGTTCATTATTACTCAGTGTAGGAACCAATGATATACGGAGTAGTACATAATTTCTAAAGGAAATCATTTCTCTCCCAATAACATTAGTGGTGCTAATTGAGAATTGAGCTATGATTGGTAAAGAAAGATCGAGTTTAATTTGAGTATGAGTCGAGTTTCAGTTGAGTAAGAAAATATATAGATTGGATGGAGTTGATTTCAAGTTCGAGTTGTATTTGAGTTTTATCTATTCTAAAAATGACATTTTTTAAATAAAGAGTTTGATTTGTTATAAGTTTACACATGTATATGCAATCATCAATAATTTTTTAAACATAAAAAATTGCTTTGAATTTTCCGCCGAGTTGTCTCTTATACAGGTTTCTCTTTATGTCCATAATTTATCTAAACCTAAGATGAACTAAGTTTAATTAATCCCACTTAAACTTGCTTGAGCATTGTCAATGAATATCTAAAATTGCATAACATTTTAACAGATTGTCTAAAACTTGCTTGAGTGTTGTATTCTATGTATCCATATCATATGATAACATTCTGATTTTTGCTGATTCGTCACCATTTTTTTGTGATGGCTAGCATGTATATGTAGCTAGTTGGTTTTTTTGTATGGTGACTGGGCATCCAATTTGGATGACCCGTGGGTTTTTTGGATGTTGTACAGTTGTATATAAACACTTTGGATATATATATTTACAGTTTATCCAAAAAATGATATAGTATAATGTAATATTTAGGATTTTATGAATGTAAAAATAGTACTAACTCATACAGAATAATTGAGTATCTTGCAAGTTTTCCTAATCAAATTTATACTCCGTATACAATTTGAGTTAACTTGTGAGTTGACTATTAGCATCTCTAATTATCATTTTGAATAATTTTCAATTTTGGGCAACTAACATATTAGTGGGACGGAAACCAAGTTCCTATGCTATTTCAACTTTTCTAGCACGACTGCAGCTGAAACGTTCCCATAATTTCCAGCTTCCTTCGCCTCCAAAGATTTGTCAATTTGTCCTGGTATCTTATTTCCCACGCTACGTGGCGCCACCTTCTATCCTCCATATCTAACTTCCAATATTTTCAAATATCCTTTAAAATTGGGTCTTGTTTGGATTATCCGGGTATATGGATTCATGCTTGGATTGGGAGTTGTATCTGAATCAGTTAACATTTAAATCCAGTGTTCTTATCCTGAACCCTAATTGATAATTCTTTGTAATTTTGTATCTAACATGGTTAATGGTTTGATGCATTCAGTGTTTGGAGAAGAAAGTTCACGGTTGTATATTTTGCTGATTAGGTTTACGGGGGGAACGAGTTTGCTCTGTGTAACTGTGTTTATGATTTTCGGTTCTGTTGCGTTATTATATTCTTCTGTTTCTCTTCGAAACCCAAAGCCTCGTTTTCAACAATTTTAGCTGATTATTTTGTGAAGATAGAGATTGCTTTGTTCATAATTTTTGCAATTCGTGAACAAGATGGCCTTTAGCGACTGTTTGGAAAGGAGAGAAGATATATTTTTTTAAAGTGAGATTTCATAGGGCAATCCTTATTTTTTGTTGGTTTTTCTCAATATAAAACAGGGGTTACGTGAGAAATTTTGACAAGCTAACTCAAGGAATATCTCTGCTCATTTTAGCATACGGAGGGCTTGTCTAATCAAGAAAAAACATACTAGAGGCCAGAAGATCATTTCGAGAAGTACAAAAAGCCACAAGGTTATCCCAGCTAATTTTCCTTATTACGTGAAGGGCTGTTAACCTGAGTGAACTGGTTTTATGTTGACTAGTTATCCCAAGGATGCTATGAATCGTTGAAGTTAGATACTTGATGTAGACTGACAACCTCCAGGATAAGGTGACTTTAGTTTTGGTCTCCATGCTGCTGTTATGGATCACTTAACACGAAAATGTATGACTCCCATCAGCAGCTCTAGGAAAGAACACATCGTTAGCGACGTATTTATGATTAAAGAAAAAAACATTGCTTGCAAGATATAACGAGTGTTACTAATTCATGTATTTGTTTTACAGCAATGCAGTTGACCATTTGATAAGTTACCCTTGTAAGTTTTCCAAATCGCTAGTCCACTTGGTCTATTATTATACTCAACTCTTTTTTATACCTTTGTAAGACTTTAACCATTTGATTGAATTATTATCCATGACTCCATGTTGATCATTGTTGGAACTTTAGGCTATGAGTTCAGTATCTTTGGTGTCTAAGTAGGAAAACATATGTGGCTTTGTATTTAGTAGCTCCTGCTGCAAAAAAAAACTGTTGTTACAAAAAAAGAAATGAATTGTTGCACACGTTCACTTAAAGAATTAGAAATTTTGTCACTTTTAGTCCCCTAACTATTGTGTGAGTCATATTTTTGGTACTCGGCTTCACTTTTAATTTTTTCATTTAGTTCTTCAACTATTATGGGAAAGACACTTTTAGTCATCGACTTCAAAATTTCGCACATTTAGTCCTCTCAGTACTGTCAAAATTGACACTTTCAATCCTTCCACTATGATTTTGGTTGAAGGACCATAAAATGTCACTTTTATAAAAGTTGAAAGACTAAACATGGAACATTTCAAAGACAAGTACCAAAAGTGTCTTTTGCACAATAGTCGTAGAACTAAAAGTGGAAAAGTTCAAATTTGAATACCAAAAGTGTCACTAACATAATTGTCGGAGGACTAAAAGTGGCAAAAACTAAAGAATTACGAATGGGAGGACTTCCTTCTATAGAAAGCTCAACAGGTGCCATAGCTATTAAACGATCGCCAAAAGACGAAAGTGCCCCTGCAACAGATTCGAAGCCAAAAAAGAAGATATGTTGTGCATGCCCAGAAACTAAGAAATTGAGGGATGAATGCATAGTGGAGCATGGTGAAGCTGCTTGCCAGAAATGGATTGATGCTCATCTCCAATGCCTTCGTGCAGAAGGCTTTAAGGTTTAACCCTCTAAGTCATGATTGAACTATACCATACCCATATACCAAATTGGATTGGATATGCTACATGAGTAATGAAACTGCTACTACTGCTTCAGTGTTATTTTTCTTCCCTGATAGGATTTTGTTAAATTACTTAGGAATAATGCTTAAACAGTTACGTGAATCCTCTTAACTCATTGATCAATGAAAACCAATATCTCTGTTTAATAGTGTTGAGCATATCCTTCTGTAGTAAATATCAACGACTAAACTCGGGAATATTCTTTCTTTTGACTTCCACCACTTTAGAACGCCAAAGTCATCATTTTCTTCAAATTCAACTTCATATGTTAAATACAAAGTAATCTCATTTATTGCGCTTTGTTCAGTAGGGTGAGTTGTTTTAGTGTTTTTCATAAGATTGCCAAATGAAGATTTAAAAATTGATTTTCCTTTAGATGAATATGTTCGTGTCGGGGGAGGGGGCGCGTTGCCATATTGTGCATGAAACTCATTAAATAAGGCATAAAATAAAAGTACTAACCTCGTTGTATTCCGTTTTTGGATCTATGGGGTTATCGTCGTACATTGGAAATTCACCAAAAAAGCAAGATAATAGAAGTTGAAACAATCTTTCAAATTAGCTAGTCTAAAACGAGGATCGAGAATAAATGCAATACCATAAATATGCGGAATATGTGCATAATATTTTAAAAACTTTTCCTTCATAAAATCACAAAAATAACTCACGTAAACGGCATTCTCAAATTCTTTAAAAGCACCGGCAAGATTAACAGCTTCACGAATAAATTGGTTTGCGGTAGGTTTATAAACATGACTAAAAGTTTCAGTTGCATTAAAAAAAATATCAAAACATTACAAATTTTTTCGCAAGTGTCGATCTCAGCCGAGTTTATAATATAGTTATCATGTTGTTTTAATAAAGCAGGAAAATGTTCTTTATATCTAAGAACAACTTTAAGTAATTTATAAGTACTATTCCAACGAATACTCAAATCTTTAGGAAAAGCAACATATCTCACACCTCTTTCAGTCAAATAAGTTTGCCATTTTAATCTAAGTTGACTATTATCCCAAATACGTCTACCCCCCCCCCCCCCCCCCCCCGACTACCTCCATAGCATCTTCTACCTCTTTTAGACCGTCTTGCACACATAAATTTATAACATGGCATGCACAGCGTTGATGAAAAAAACTACTTATCAAACTATTGGCACCACACAATTCACGCAATCTAGGTATAGCAGCAGTATTATTAGTAGCATTATCGAAACCAATAGTAAACGCCTTATCAATCAAATTGTACTCAATTAAAATACGCTCAATCAAAATATAAATATGTTCAGCAGTGTGACGATCATTAAATTCACGAAAAGCAAGAACATGTTTATACATATTCCAATCCTCATCAATATAATGTGCAGTCACACCGACCCAAATAATTTAAATGATGAAAATCATCCTCCCATATGTCAGAACAAATAGTAACACGCCCATCAAAGTTTGCAAATAAATTTTGTAACCTTGCCTTTTTCGCACCATAAAGCCTTATAATTTCTTTCTTAACAGTTTTGCGACTATAACCTCTAAATTGAG